GAGAATCTCCCGAACATATATTACCTTGTAATCACTATAGATGGTCTCTCAATTATATGGCGTTGCTTTGTTGAGTTCTCTGACTATTAAATGTTATAAAATGATCCTCCAACTATAAGATGTTGTTTTATTGAGTCCCTGAGTATTAAAAGTTATAAAATGGTCACTTGACTATTCATATATTCCAAAATCATCCATTTCCTTAAAAAAATGATACTTGTCTAAACTGGACAATACATGCTGACAAAAAATATGATAAAATTATATTTTAATGATGTCTACTAACATTGTCATTGTTTTGCCTCATCATTATAATATTTCAAGCATTGGCTCGACAACATAATGTAAATGGATATTTGATCTACAAAATACAACTAAAACGATTGAGATTGATCAATAACTATTCATTCATGAGAAACCCAAAATATTACAAGTGTTGGCAATTTAGAAAATTAGGGTTTTAAGGGTAAAAGAATCCCCATAAGCATTTTCTAGTAGTAATGACTATAAGGAAGCGAATTAAAAATTTAGTAATTGTAACACAAATTTTGAAAATTCGATTATCAAAATGAAAGTATCCTAAAAATTCAAAGACTATCGGTGTAGTTTAGCCTAGTAAATAATAACAATAAACATCTAAGCCTCACTTTATTGTCAAATCAATAAAAATATGAATAAAAAAATCGACATCACCAACAACTTATTGGTATAATAGAATGGGACATTAAATCTTTTAACTAAGGTTAGGAATTCAAATCCTAACATTTATGAATAGAGTAACTTAGATTAAGAGGATTATTCTCGCTTCTGCAGTAACCGGTCCAAATTGATCAATCAATAAATTGAATAGTATTAGTTATACCAAAAAAAGCTACATCATCATAAATACTAAACATAGTCTGTCTTCTTGCTCTGTTGAATTGGGGTAGTTGAACTGCTGAAGATGACATACCCATTTCTCTCGATTAAACGCATGGAAAGTGCGCGTTTAATCACACTTCATTTAGAAAGTAGGGCAAGTTTGGGCTCTATTATTTATGGTTCTAGCCTCACCCAACCCAGTCTAGTTCGATTCGTTTTTAAATTATTTTTTATTTATATATATATATTTTATATTATATGAATATTAAATAATTAACATTATAATATAAAATGTTAAAAGTAAATAAAATAATATAGGTTAAATTACAAATTTGGTAACTGAACTTTACTCTTTCTCCAATTTCATTCATTGTATTACAAATTTGGTAACTGAACCTTTACTCTTTCTCCAATTTCATTCATTGTATTTTAAATCTTTTCAATTTATCACTAAACTTAATACATTGAGTGTTTTTAGTCATTCAGTCATTTTCTTACTAACAGTGTTATAAATGGGTTGTTACATAAATGCAAAACAATATCATTTTGGTGAAAATTTTGTTTTATTAAAACGACGTCGTTTTAACACCCGTTAACTATTTAACGGCGGAGTTACAAAAAAACTCAATGCATTCAATTTAATGAAAAAAATTAAAACTTTTAAAATTTAGTGTGCAACAATAGAGAGAGAGTAAAGTTTAATAAGTTATGGAATTTGGTCCTTCATTAACTAATTGAATGGTATACTTTGGATAATAAAAGAAAAGTCTTATATAAATTTTTCTTAACTATTAAAAACATAGACATACACTGCAAACATAACTAATCAAATTTAGATCCTCTAAAGATAACAACATTCTTCTATCATCGGGTCCAGTCAATGAATTTCCTCTGATATTAGTTAAATAATTTATTATGTTTGCAATTTGTAAAAATGATAAATTGATTGGATAATTTAAGTGGCTTAATAATTTGATTTATTTATGACATGATCCTTGGTTACTTGATGGAGATTATGCTGTGAATTTTAGTAAAAATTGGAATTTTGTTAATTTAAATTTTATTATGTGCTTCGAATGTGATATATTTTGTTCTAATTAACATTCGGATCGAGTAAGGAGTGTTATGCCACATGTTTGTTCGACAATAAATATATAATTTCTGAATTATATTATATTTGTTTTAATATCAATTATTTTTGAAACTTTAATTGCTGAATTATTATATTATGATTCCATATTCTATTATTTGTGAACCTTTAAATTTAAAGATATATGAACTAATTTAAATGTTAATTAAAATTAATCCGTAAACATCGAATAAGAAAACTTGTTAAAAGGGAATGTTATTCTCCCAAAAGTTTATGGGGTGCATCGACAATAGTTTAAAAAAATTCTGAACAAATACTACCGTGTAATCATCTCAACAATTATAAAAAAAAACTTTTATCTCATTGAACTCATCAACCTCATAATAAAATATAATGTTATTCTTAGAAATTTCAATTAATAAATTGTGTCCGTAAGTATGTACATCATCGATAACTACCTTATAATTGCGTCCACTCCTCTACTTCTAGGTACTTGGTACCTGTCAATCTCTCATGAATGGGATGCTTTTAAAAGAAACCTACATGTATGTTTCCCTATAAATTAAGAAGAAGGAATTAAACAATTTCCCAAGCTTTGCAATTTCATGGCATTAGTCAGTTTTTTTGAAGTTTTCTTGGCTCGTTTGCTTTGTTTCTACAGCTCGAGAAACAAAGATGGGAGTCCAAGGAGTTATCCGATTGTTGGGATGCCGGCGCTGCTCCTCAACGTTATCGGATTCACGATTGGTGTACCGACATTCTCGAGAGATGCCACTGCACTTTCCTTTTCAAAGGCCCTTGGTCTGCTAACATGAACCTGATGCTGACCTGCGATCCTGCCAACATCACCACGTTATGCTCCAACTTTGCCAACTTCCCCAAGGATCCGAGTTCAAACAGTTGTTCAACAAACTGGGAGACGGTATTTTCAACTCCGACTGGATCTGTGGAAAAACAGAGGATGGTTGCTCAAGGATTCGTGAGAACTCACCGGTTTCATAGTTTTTTGTCGAGGATTCCCATTATAAGGGGCACACGGGCTCGTTCCTGTTATGACCATTTTGCCAAACGATGCTAGTGGCAGACTTAGAAGATATATTCCGAAGGTTCACGTTCGATGCTACATGCACTTGGTTACTGGCCATGACCCTAGATCCCTTTCTCGAATTCCGGATGTTCTTTTCTCCAAGGCCCTGAGATGCCGAGGAGCGAATATTTTATCGGCATGTCAGGCCACCATGGTTTATAAGTTGCAGAGGTGGCTGACACGGGACAAGAACGGAAATATGGAAAGGCGGGGCAAGTTCTTGATGATATAATAGCCGAGTATATATGGCAGAAGAGGAAGATTTGAACCGAGGGTCGAATTCGACATCGGAAATCGTCGAGAAGGCGTGGATTCTTAACACCGTACATAACCGAAGAGAAGTCAATAGGTTTAGAATGTGACGATAAATTCTTGAGAGACATTTTGAGTATGATGCTTGCAGGGAGGGACACCACAAGCTCTGCTCTTACTTGGTTCATTTGGCTGGTTTCCCGTCATCCAATAGTCGAAAACAAGATCATAGAAGAGCTTCAATCGAAAATACCCGAAGACGAAACCGGAAAGAAGCGATTGTTAAAGGCTGAGGAAGTAAAGAATTTGGCTTATCTTCAACCATTAACAAACTATTTTCACATATTTTTATATCTTCAACTCACCAATTTTAAAATTAGCTTACATGTATGTTGAAAAATATATGCACAATATTTATAATGATTATTTCAATTTCATGTATTAATGAAAATGAAGTCAGAGTATTATTTTATAGTGATGAAGTTATTTTTAATTCGGAGTTTTTATAGAAAATAACAATAAATAAATGATCACGTAATAAAATAGATATTAATATTTTTAAGTGTAAAACTCTTTTGAAAACAATTACGGAGAAAAAAATCATTAATATAAAAAAAACAATTTCCTCTTGATTTTATATATATCATGAGTCAAATTGAGTTTGAGTCAAACATAATCTCTGCCTTGACACACGAATTCTAAAAATATAAAAAAATCGAGATTAAAACTCAAATTCAAGGAAACACCAAAACTAAACAAAAAAAAAATCAAAATTTTATGAGAAAATGGAATTTTTTTGAACATGTTTAGATACATTCACTTAAAATGGCTGTCCCTTTTTCCCATATGTATGGGGTAAGGGGAGGTAAGATAGTAGGCTACCCCAACACCAGGTTGAGAGCAGCTTCCGTAAGAGACCTCCGATTATGAAATGCCCTCCGTGGGACTCGATCCCACGACTTCAAGATTAAGAACCTGTGCTCTACCAACTGAGCTGGATGGTCATTTCTTAGATACATTCACTTAATGATGTGTTATTATTTAGTTTCTAACATATTGCTCGTGACTGTCACGAGTTTGATCAGTATCGGAATGACCTTAAAAGGAAATTAAAGGAATGAATGGTTTGAAGGAAGATGCAGAATCTATAATGAGCACAGAGCTTCAGCCAAGAAAGAAACTGAAGGCGGAAATCCAGATATGGTTGGAAAATGTTGAAGATAAACATGGATTTCGCGGAGAAGATGTGTTAAAGAGTATAAAGGAAGTCTATGAACTTATTATTCACATGGTAATTTCATGGAGGTTTGGTGGTTGACAATCCTCAATGGATTGGACAAGTTTTGTCGACAACAAGTTTATCAGGTGAAGCTGTAAAGGCCTGTGCTGAAGAGATTGGCATGCTTGATGGATGATGAGGTTCCAAAGCTTGGACTTGGGGGATGGGTGGCGTGGGAAAAATAAGCATCATGAAGGTTTATAAACAAGCAACTCTTAAAGAGACTGGGAAATTCGATATTGTGATTAGGATCACTGTATCCAAAGAGACGAGTATTGCTAAACTGCAGAAGACATTGCTAGTAAAATCGGAGTCGAATTTTCCGGTTACGAAGATGAAACTACAAGGCAGGGATTCTCTTTGAAACATTGACTCGAAAGAGAAGTTTGTGATGATCTTGGATGACCTGGGGAAAGTTTCCCTTGATAAAGTAGGAATCCCTGAACCGTCTGCGGGGAGTAAGTTGGTGTTGACAACTCGATCATCTGATGTGTGTCGACAAATGGGTTGTAGAGTAATTAAAGTAAGCCTTTGATGGAAGAAGAGGCATGAAGTTGTTCTTAGAGAAGGTGGATCGTGATATTCTCAGTATTCGAGGAGTGGAACCAATTGCAAGATCAATTGCTAGGCGTTTGTGCAGGTTTGCCCTTAGGACTATCACTACAGCTTCTTGCATGAAGGAATTGATGACATTTCCGAATGGAGGAATGCATTAAGAATTTAGTCAACGCCAAAAATGTGTTCCAACATTACAATTCCATCGTTTAAAGGATACAAAACTTCAACATTGTTTCTCAGTTGTGCATTATATCCAGAAGATCAGGAAATCGAAGAGGGGCGTCTTATTCAACTTTGGATTTCATAAGGCTTGTAGAAGAATGGATAGTAAGCAAACAGAGTTCGATAGGCGTCGTGCAATAATGAATAGACTCATCGGCAATTGTTTGTTAATATTTTACTCATTTCGAAAATACAAGAACTGTGAAGATCATGATCTTCTAAGGGACATGGCATTACATATTGAAGAAACTCGATTCTTGGTAAAAGCCGGTACGATGTTAATAGAGTCACCAGATGAGCAATAATGGAGCAAAGATCTAGAGAAAGTTCCATTGATGAGTAATTTGTTGTACATACCCTTGGAAAAGTCACCCCCAAAGTGTCCCAGGCTCACAACATTGTTGTTGTCTGATTGTGATATAGGGAGCATTCCTGAAGGTTTCTTCAAGAATATGGACACACTTAAAATTCTTGATCTTTCTAGAAATTCTATCAAGAGTCTTTCTAATTCTTTATCGAAGTGTCACAGGCTCGCCACATTGTTGTTGTCTGATTGTGGTACAGAGTATTCCTGAAGGCTCATTCCGTCCCTGCTTATATGCCATTAGTTCTTTTGTAAACCAATCTGACACTCCATGTTGTTATTGTCAATTTTGAATTGACTTGGATGGCTTATATTTCTATATTTTCACATTATGTATCTACAAGATAGTATTAAATATGATTCAAATCAAACTTTAATTTGACTTTCTTAAAGTCGTTGCACCTAACCAGCTTTATTGAAATATCATTCGTTTGTGTATAGGTCACTGAGACTGGAGTCAACATTTCCTTTGTGTAGGTGAAACTTGCTTAAGTTTTGGTGAGCGTGTAAAGAAGAAAAAGACAATAAACCCAATAACAAATAACAATATCTAGGCCTGTAAACGAATCGAACGCACACGAATGGAGGTATGTTCATGTTCGTTCATTAATAAATAAACGAACAAATTTTTTTTTGTTCATGTTCGTTCATTAAGGAATATAGTTTGTTCATGTTCGTTCATTAATAAATAAACGAACATAAACTAACACGAACATAAACGAACACGAACATAAATGAACACGAACGTTGGAGACCCTACCTTCCATTGTTCTTTCATGAAAATAGTCGACAATGCAAATTAACCAAATCTACAATGATAAATAGCGTAAGAGTTGATTAACAGCGATGAAATGTTTGAAGATATCATATTTCGATCGATCTTTAAAGATATTAAATGATTCACATGACTTTAATTTAACGCTATAACATTTATCTTAGTGTCCATGATTATATATGAACAATCATTTTCACTACGTTATCTAATAAATTCGCCGGCTAAAAGTTTTGTGACATCAATGCCAGACTTTAGTGAGATTTGTTAATAATAGTCCTTTCCATTAGCAGAGTAGAAAATTTAACAGCATGAAGATTTCGAACGGTACAAATTGGACTACAAGGCAATAACATATATCCGAAATCCCTTGATGCTACATATACTAAATATTATTGCTAAACTACCATTCAAAATTTTAACGTACCTAAAGTACTCCACAACTAAAGGTCACACAAGAACTATGAAAACAATAGTTCATTGTCAAAGTGTATTTTCTACTTATTAATGGGTTCTTCCTTGAAACCCATTACTTCCGCTATTACACTTTTTCAGAAATTGCTAGAAACCTTTTGTTTTGTTTTTTTTGGCAAATTCTATATATTTTCTCTTTACTGATGCTCATATACTTCCGATTGTTACCTTTATCTTCCCATCTATTTCTAGAAAGAAGTATGATGTTTTCTTGAGTTTTAGATGTGAAGATACCCACAATAACTTTACATATCAACTATTAAGTCAAATAAAACAGAGAAAGAGATGAAAACATACCTGTAAAACTTTAGATTGCACTATAATATAACTTGTTTTGAAGCTTTCACCGATCGTCTCCACTCTCCAGTGATACTAGGGTTGGGAAAAAGAGGAAATGAATATAGTGCGAGGTGTCTCACAGGTTAACATATTGGATTTAATCTCCAAATAAAATTGGGTTAATATAGAGTTGGTCATCAGAATATCAGATTAATTATATTTTTAAGATACTTACAAATTGGTCACCAAAATTGATTTAAGAAGATTGGGTTAAACATAAATGAACGAACATAAACGAACATAACTGAACGAACATAACCGAACGTTCACGAACTAAATGAACGAACGAGACCTATGTCATCGTTCATTTAATTAAACGGATACAAAATCTTGTTCATGTTCGTTTATTAATAAATAAACGCACATAAACGAACTTCCCGCCGCACGGTTCATGAACGGTTCGCTGAAAATTCAGTTCATTTACAGGCCTAACAATATCAGCAGCCTATAAAGAAGAAAAAGACATAATGACCAATAAATTAGAAATTTGTAATTACCTGTTGTGCTGTGTGCGTGTAACAGTGATTTGTTCCGCCAAGGGTGTGATTTCCTTGTTTGTGTTGGTGAAAATTGCTTTGTAGGTAATTCTAGCACATGCATAGAGAACCCTTTGGAGTGGCTCTTTATATCACCGTTTCTCATATTATCAGGAACGTTTTTTTGCTAGTTCTCTCCTGTTATCATCTCCGAACAAAATTTTCAGAAGAGGTATGTATTGAATTTTACATTTTTATTGTTCTTTCGAACCTCATTAACTGCAAGGAACATGATTCTTTTTCATTCTTTTTACTCCATAATCATTAACTTGATTTTTTCATAAACTGCAAGTCCATGGCATATATCGCTTTCTACTCATGTTCATTACTGTGTTGCCCAGTTTCTAACATATTGCTTGTGACTTGCAGCCATGGACTTTGTTCTGTATAAGATTAATAAGCACTTGGACGATCACATGAGCTTTGATCAGCATATGAAGGACCTTAAAAGGAAATTAAAGAATTGAATGGAACGAAGAAAGATACGGATATATAATGAGAACAGAGCTGCAGCCAAGGAAGAAACTCAAGGAGGAAGTCCAGATATGGTTGGAAAATGTTGAAAGAGTCAATGGCGAAGTGCAAGACCTTAATGACAGAATCGGTGAAAGTAGTGCTCTTACACGTGCATCTCACACAGAATATTTGTCAAAGAGTACAAAGGAAGTTGAAGAACTTATTATTCAACATGGTAAGTTTCATGGAGGTTTGGTGGTTAACAATCCTCAATGGATCGGACAAGTTTTATCGACAATAAGTTTATCAGGTGAAGCTGTAAAGGCCTGTGTTAGAGAGATTTGGCAGTGCTTGATGGATGATGGGGTTCGAAAGATTGGAGTTTGGGGCATGGGTGGCGTGGGGAAAACAAGCATCATGAAGGTTATAAACAACCAACTCTTAAAAGAGACGGGGAAATTTGAAATTGTGATTTGGATCACTGTATCCAAAGAGGTGAGTATTGTTAAACTGCAGAAAGACATTGCAAGTAGAATTGGAGTAGAATTTTCTGGTGATGAAGATGAAACTACAAGGGCAGGGATGATCTTTGAAACATTGTCTCAGAAGGGTAGGTTTGTGATGATCTTGGATGACCTATGGGAGAAGGTTTCACTAGAGAGAATAGGAATTCTCGAGCCGTCAAATGGGAGTAAGTTAGTGTTGACAACTCGATCATCTGATGTGTGTCGACAAGTGGGTTGTAGAATGATTAAAGTAAAGCCTCTAACGGAAGAAGAGGCATGGACGTTGTTCTTGGAGAAGGCGGGTCGTGATATTCTCAATATTCGAGGGGTGAAACCAATTGCAAGATCAATTGCTAAGCGTTGTGCAGGTTTGCCCTTGGGAGTAATTACTATAGCTTCTTGTATGAAGGGCATTGATGACATTTCAGAATGGAGGAATGCACTAAAAGAATTAAGTCTACGCAAAAAGAGTGTTAATGGATTCGAAGAAGAAGTGTTCCAACAATTACAATTTAGTTTTGATCGTTTAAAGAATCCAAAACTTCAAGATTGTTTCCTCAGTTGTGCATTATATCCGGAAGATGAGGAAATTGAAGAACGAAGTCTTATTCAACTTTGGATCGCAGAAGGGCTTGTGGAAGAACACTAAAAGAATTAAGTCTACGCAAAAAGAGTGTTAATGGATTCGAAGAAGAAGTGTTCCAACATTACAATTTAGTTTTGATCGTTTAAAGAATCCAAAACTTCAAGATTGTTTCCTCAGTTGTGCATTATACCGGAAGATGAGGAAATTGAAGAACGAAGTCTTATTCAACTTTGGATCGCAGAAGGGCTTGTGGAAGAAATGGATAGCATGCGGGCAGGGTTTGACAGGGGTCGTGCAATAATGAATAGACTCATCAGCAATTGTTTGTTGGAAGTTTTTACTCATTCTGAAAATGAAGAACTATAAAGATGCATGATCTTATAAGGGACATGGCATTACATATTGCAGAATCTCGAGTCCTGGTAAAAACTGGCATGATGCTTGAAAAAATACCAGATGTGCAAGAATGAGCAAGGATCTAGAGAAAGTTCGTTGATGAGGAATCAGTGGTTATTATACCTTTAGAAATGTCACCCCCAAAGTGTCCCAGGCTCACAACATTGTTGTTGTCTCATTGCAATATAGTGAGTATTCCAGAAGGATTTTTCAAGCATATGGATGCACTTAAGGTTCTTGATCTATACAGAAATCCTATCAAGAGTCTTCCAATTTCCTTGTCGAAGTGTCCCGGGCTCACAACATTGTTGTTGTCTGATTGTCGTATAGAAAGTATTCCAGAAAGCTTCTTCGATGATGCGAATGAACTCAAGATTCTTGATCTTTCCTTCAATCCTATCAAGAGTCTTCCGCATTCCTTATCAAATTTGAAGAACCTCACTTCATTGTTGCTTGCTTATTGTAAAGATTTAGAGAATGTTCCATCGTTGTCAAATCTTGGAGTTTTAAAGAAGTTGAATCTTCGAGGAACAAATATCAAGGAAATCCCTGATGGGATGGAAAACTTGGTGAGTCTTGAGTACCTAAATTTAGGTATTTCTACAGCTTAAATGAGATCCCGAATGAAGTACTTTCAAGACTTGTTGTCTTCAAGACTTGATCGTCGGTGAAACTCTGATAAATGGAAAGGAGGTTGGTGAATTGAAGAAACTGCAGGGAACTCTTGAAGGGAGGTTTCATGACTGGAACAACTTAAATATGTATCTCGAAGCTTGTCGTGGCCGAGAAGAGCCTCGTCAATACATAATCTACGTGGGAGATATAGGCTTTCCTACGTTTTTTGAAGGTGCAAGAAAAGAAATTGTTGTAAGTGGTTGTAACATCTATACCTACCAGATTGTGCTTCCACGTGACAATGAGGGATTGCAAATTAGGGAATGCAATGTTGATTGCAGTGAAGAATACCCTCTTTTCTCCAGGTTTATCCTCTTCTCACTTTCCTCCTTTTCATCTCTTAGATCTCTTAAAATAAATGATTGCAGAAATATGAAAAAGTTGTTCTCCCCAAATTGTGTGCCGCTAAATTTACAAATACTCAGTGTTGAAGGGTGTAAGCAATTGGAGGAAATAATAACATCAGAAGTTGAGACGGCGGAAAGAGGAATGGTTATCACCGAGTTTTATCTTCCACAATTGAGCCTATTGAGTTTGTGGGATCTACCGGAATTAAAGAGCATTTGCAGTGCTGGTGGAGTACTGGTTTGTGATTCTCTTCTACAAATTGAGATTGTAGACTGTCCAAAATTAAAGAGGATGGGTCTTAATCTTCCCAAACTTGATAATGTCCCACCATCTGCATCTGCATCTGCAAATCTTTCTCTTTCAGTTCGGATAATACCAAAGGAGTGGTGGGAATCAGTGGAATGGGATGGTCCCCAACCCAAGTCTCTTTTCGACCCCTTCGTGAACTCATGTTTTCTTATTTAAGCGAAGCTTAATTTGATGAATTCAAATCTGTATTAATTTATAAGATAAACTACTTGTATAGTCGTTAAATCATAGGGTAGGTTTTATGTTGACAATTGAACTGTGAATTTTGTTAATTGAGTCATTAAATTATTAAATGGTTTTAATCAATCTTATCGTTAACATAAATGCTAATATATCAAATACCTAAATTTATATAATTATATTTGTGATCCTCATTATATTACTTCCCTCGAAAAGATGTTGACGCCGATCTCAAAATGATGTCATTTTTGGAGCCTTATAACATTATTTATTCTTTTTACTTTCCATTTTTTCTAAATATCAATATGATAATCATTATCGACGATGATTGAAGATCATAATTTTTCTGTCTCAAATTTAAATTCGATGTCGATTTCACCTAAAAAAATCTCAAGTGACATAGAAATGGTTCAGTTACTTTTGGCTTCTCCATCATTGATGTTGCTTTTTCACCATTCTATCCGAGTAAAATTGAGATATGTTTTTCTTATCCTCCTTCCAGTTCTCACCATTGGAATTCGTTTGTGGTAGTCTCAATTAGGGTGTACATTTTTTGATATCATATATTATCCTATCCGAAATTTTGGATATCAACAGATTCGGACCATTAAAATTGTGATCCGTATCCGATCTAAAAAATAAGATATATAAATATCGAAATCCATATCCAAATTACATATCCTAATATGTCAAAAACCTTACTAGAAATAATTTATATAATAGTATACAAATACGAATGAAGTGAAAATATCTAAAAAAAATATCGTTAACAAACTATATATTAAAAATGAATACCCTAATTATAAAAATAAAAAATCAGATATTAAATTGTATATTAAATTAAATCAAACTATTATAACTTTTATACTATTCTGGGGCCAATTTTTTTCTTCTAATTATTTATATATGTATAACATGACCACAATCAAGTTTGATTTTTTATCATAGAGGTCATTGGTGCTGGGGACTGGAGAAGGTTGGAATTGTCGAGACTGTATAAATATTTTTTAAAGGCCCAATTTTTTTTTAAATTTTCGAATAATTCAAAATAATTTTTTTAATCCGTATTTAATTCAATTATCTAATTCTTTTTTTCTCGAGCGTCGTTATAAGATGAACCCGATATTGCATAGAGCCTACTCCATGGACATAGTAAGTGAACTGTCACACCCTGAAGTTGGGCATATTTTTCAGGGGCCAAATTGTATGATTCTCAAAATTTTATGGCAATTTTCAAAATTCCAGAAAGTTCAAGGACCCAAGCTCGAGATTGCCCTTCCTTTTAGTGAAAAAATGAAAAAAAAAGTTGTTAGTGGTTAATGTTAGTAAATAAATAAATAAATAAAAATTAGCGGTTAATGGTTAAATGTTAGTAATTATTGGTTAGTGTTAGAAATAATAGTAGAATCCGAACCATAATAATATGAATCATACCCTGAATTAGGTCTTCACAAGGTTCTATAATAATTCAAACAAATTAATAAAAATAAAAAATCAGTTAGGAGTTAGTAGAGTCTGGACCATGATAATGTGGATCATACCCGAATTGGGTCACCACAAGGTCGTAGAAACATTCGAATATTAATAAGCAATAATTATTAAAGAATCAATGATCAAAATAAAATAAAATAAAATCAGCAAGCTAACTTAAAATAAACAGAAAAGCATATGTGATGACTAAAATATAAACAACAAAAAATATAATGACATAATCAATGATCAAAATAAAATAAAATAAAATCAGCAAGCTAACTTAAAATAAACTAAAGTGTAAAAAGAAGGTAAAAATTGGAGGAGCTTCGGGTGATTAATCCACAAAATAGGTGACAAGAATATCAAAGGATGCTAAAACAAGGGGACTAGGTAGTTTTTATTGCCTGAGGCGGAGGTGGCGACACCAGCCTTTATGGTTAGTTGTTGGCCGCCGATCTTTTTCTTTCTTTTGTTATTCTAACTTTTTATTTGTTTGCTCTCTAGCAACAAGATCTATGGTGGAGGCGGCCTCAACCTCGCAATTTCGGTGTTCGTCGCGTTTGTGTCCTTTCTTCGTCTATTAGTTGGATTTGAGAGAGTGGGTTGTTTCAAAGTTATTTCCTCTCCTTCGTCCTTAAGCTGTCTTGTGATTGCTTTGCCTAGATAGGTGTTCGCTGAAGTTCCTTTTAGATGATGTTCATTGCCCGTTATTGTATTTGTTGTTTTGCATTGTGTGTTCCTTGATGGCATTTCGACCGGTGGTGGAGAGGTGAATACATCTGTATCGATGATGTGTTGAGTCCTAGGTTGCAGGAGGTAACCGCTTCAATTGTTGGTTTTGTGTTATGGTCGTGGAAGTGATGTGGCTGTCGTTTAATAGTGGATGTTATTTCTTTTGGAAGTTCTCCATTTTATGAGGTTTCGTGCTTTCTTTGTTGGAGCTTTGGTTGATGGCGGAGCGTGGCATGCAATCGCCGATGTTTTGGTGGATGCTTTTGGTTTCGTTGTGGTTTGTGCAGAATAAACTAGTCCTGAGTAAGGTGGTATGGGCACGTGTAGCTCTTGGCGTTGTGCCAGAGGAATATTTTTGGTATTGGCAGCTATATTGGTGTTTGCGGTTTTGTGTGTTTTGGTAGAGAGGCAGCATGGTATGGGAGTTTTAGTGGAGCTAGGAGTGATGCATGTGGGGGGCCCTGGGTTTTTATTATTGCATCTGCATGTTTGCGTTTCTGCCTGAGGAGTGATAATGTTGCAGATTTGGAGACAACTTGTATGGGATAGTGGATTGTGAGGTGGAGTTGCGTTTTTAAGGGAATAAGCTTGATTCTCCATTTTTAATTATGTTCGACATATTATCCAGGTAGGCGATTATTAGAGCAGTGGGCGAGGATTTTTTTGTAAAATATGCATGGTGGTTTGGTGCAATCCCAGCAGTCCAACCTGGATTTTCGAGATTGATATTTAGTGTGTATGCTCAATAGAATATAGAAGATTTGAGGAGACAGAAGTCGAGGCAATTTGATAGTAGGGATGTGGCTGATCGTGGTTTGTTTGCGACAGATTGTGCTGTTGATCGGTCGGAGATTGATCTTTGTAGCGAGGGCAACGCTTCGCGTGGAAGGTTCGTGTTAGGGCAGAGCTTCTAGAGATCTTTTTTACTGTTTCGCTATACTCTCGATGGATTCGAGTGTTTTAGAGTTGTTCGTAGTCTCGCTTTCTTACTGTTTGGTTGACGCTGTTTGGGCTCAGATCAAAAGTTTACAACCTTTGTTAGGCAAATCTCTTCTGTTTTATGTCTCGGAGGTTATATCTTGGTTTTGTTTGTTGTTTTGGATGTGTGTAGTTCTTATTTGTGTTTCATTCAGGGGTAATGTGTAGCTACATTATTGTTGTTTGTTTCGGGATGTTCTAGTGGTGTGTTCATGGCTGTTGTTTCTTGTTGTTCCTGGGTCCTTGTTGGACCTTCTTCCATCCCAAGGTTCACTCTTTTTCCTCTAATTAGGATTAGAGAGGTTTTTCAATGAGGTCCATGAGGTGGTGTACTTTGTGATTTCTAATACAAAGTAATCATTTTTCAAAAAAAAACAAGGGGACTTGTGTGATTTTCTCTTAAAACAGGTGGACATAATACAAAGGGTACTAGAATGACGAAGCCTAGGAGTAATTTACCAAAACACTTTGGTGACAAAAGTATGAAGTACTCTTGAATCGAGAAACCTAGAGCATTATTTATCCAAACGTTTTAAAACTAAACCCCCCTCTCCTTTTCTCTCCACAAACCCATGGGAACCAAAAAAACATCTCACCCTCTTCTTCTTCCTCAACCTTTCTATCTCAACCGAGACACAAAAAGCCCAATGGTATGAGCCTATACCGCCGACCACCTCCTTGATGGTTCTCCCCTCCGACCGACGACCTTTGGTCGTAACTCAGTCCCGCTTCACTCCGGTGAGAACCGACAAACAAGGTAACCAAAAAAAACTCTAATCCATTTCCTATTTTTACTTTAAACTTTGAATCAAAACTAAAGAAAACCAAAGAAAAAAGATGGAGGAAAACCTTCCAAACCTTCTATATTGCTTTTCTTTTTGTGTATTCTCAAATGGGGGAGATAAAAATCTATGTTACAATCCCGATAAAAGAAAAGAAAACCCCCTACAAATCAATTTTTGATGGGTTTTTATACCCCCAATTTACACGTATACACTGAAAAGGAAAAGGAAAAAATGTTCCTGATTTGTTTGTGTTGTGATTGTTGATGGTGGCGTGTGGCAGGGAAGAAGCAAAAATCGGGATGGTGTAGATGGCAGCAGGGGCGTGGCAGCAGCAGCAAGGCATGGGGGTGTTTGACTTTCTTTTACTTATTCGAATCGCATAATTAATTAAAAATTTATTAGGTTAATAATTAGAGCCTCCATTTTAGGTTTCATTTAAAACCTAGTATTTAAACTTAGGCGATTTTTTTTTAATTTGGTCCTCATTTTTACTCGATGTTCCATTTTAACTATTCGAATATTGGACACTTTTAGGTTTAATATTATATTAAAATTAATTAGATTAATATTAGAACCTACATTTTAAGTTTATGCCTTTAGGTTCTTTACTTTTCAATATTGGACACTTTTAGCAAGAGAAAGCCTTAATCTGCTCTTAGTTTAATTAGAGTTAATAATAAATTGTTAGATGATATCATGTTTTAAAACCTAAGACAATGTTCACTTATTAGGGAGTCAAAAGTATATCTCCCACAAGTATGCTCAGGGGGTGACTACTGGTGATTTTCGAAATATTTCGACAACATTTTCAAAACTGCATCATGATTTCTAAAATATCGAAACAATGTCCGGTTATTGGGCACAATAGTTGATCTCCCGCATTCATGCTAGGGGGTGAAGACTATCGGCTTTAATAAACTAATACATTTTTTAACTTTGCATCTATGATGATTTTTTAAATTAGATAAAGTTCGAGCTCAAATATTATCAATTTTAAATATAGGGTAATCAACTAGGTACTAATTTTTGGGCCCTGTAGGGTACTAATCCTTCCCCACGCGTAACTAACTCCTGAACCTATTTTATGGTTTTTGTAGACCCTAAAACTTGATATTTTGATAAAAATAATAGTAAAATGTTTTATTAAAATTATTTTTATTTATGGTGTTCTGATCGCACCTTAAAATGATTGGTGGTGACTCCTTACATTTCAAAACTTTTTCAAAAAAAACTCCTAATTCGTACTAGTGTTCTTCCCTACTGGGTGAAAAACAATGACGACACAATCGAACACCCAAACCCCTCAATTGACCACATGTCTGCTCACATGCCCTCCCCTATAAACTCACGCACCTTGCAACACTGACAAATCAATGAAATTCCATTATGGTTATAAAGACGAGTAAATGCAAACAAATACCCCTAAAGTTTGACAGTATATGCAAATTTACCCCTATTGTTTTTTTAGAGCATTTGACCCACAAAGTTTAATTTTGATTCAAAAAACCCCTTGTTGGATGGAAATCGTTAGTCAACTGATAGTCAACGCCTTCAGCTGACTAAACAAGCACATGTGGACACAAATGATTACATGGTGTGTCCACGTCACTAATATATGTTGACGTGAAATTGACACGCCAACCTTATTTTGTTTAAATAATTAATTTTAATGAGAATTTTGTACCAATAAGAGAGTGACACGTGTCACTCTCATATTGGTGCATATTTGAAAGAATGAATAAAAGGCTACTACTTGCGTGGAAGGGGACTCGAATCTGGGGCAAGGGCGTGAAATGGGATGACCCTTGCCACCAGGCCAAGCATGATACTTGGTTTTGTATTGAAACAAAACCTTATTTAACCCATAATAAATGTTCAGTTTAATTAAACAAAATGAAACACGCGTTTCAAATATCTCACAGGCATCTTAAAACTGATTTTCCCAAAATATTAGGGTTTAGAAACTCCAATATTTCAAATCATTTCTCCTCTCAAATTCTTCATTTTCCTTCAAGCAACATCCTCAAACCGATTACACAATCGTATATTTCTAAGGTGAGTTGATTTTTTTGAATTGAATCAGCATATATTAGTGACGTTCACACACCACATCATCATTTGTGTCCACATGTGCTTGCTTAGTCAGCTAGAGGCGTTGATCGTCAATTGACTAAAGGTTTCCATCCAACGGGGAGGCTTTTGAATCAAAATTAAACGTTGTGGGGTCAAATGTTCCAAAAAAATAATAGGGGCAAATTTGCATATACTGTCAAACGTTAGGGGTATTTGTTGCATTATGCCTTTTTTAATTATTTAGAATTAGGACTAAATTGACAAAGTGTATAAATAGTAAAGACTTAAATGTATACAAATTTTAAAAATACCACATCATATTTTTGTTTTAACGTAGAGGGACCAAAATAGAAATAATAAAAAAGTTAAATAATAAAATTAAAAGTTTTTGTGGGGTTGTTTACTAAAATAACAACACCCTGATAGTTGGGTGGCTAACAATAAAATTTACCCTAAATTATTTTGACCTCGGATTAAATCATATTCGGAATATTTTAAAATTGGATTGGTTTAGATGATATCAATACCGCATCATGTAACATCAAATAGAAAAGGACAAGAAAGAACAATAAAATCGTAATTTTCAAATTAATTTTTTTATTGTCCTCCCATTTCCAAGGTTGACTTAATTAATTAGAATCAATCCGTGTCACACATTTGATTTTGGTGGATGAGTCTCACAGTAAAGATTTTCTGTATATGCAATGATTCAAACTCGAAATTTTATTTAAACGATATCAAACTGTTTATACCCTTAACCAACCCCTGTTGGTCTAAATTAAACTTTAATTTGCCTTTCTTAGAATGATTGCACCTAACCAGCTTTATTGAATAAATAAGAAGAAAATGAAGAGAAAACACTGAGGTCACTGAGACTGGAATCAACATTTCCTTTGTGTAGTAGGTGAAACTTGCTTAAGTTTTGGTGAGCGGTATCATCGATTTAAATAGCGATTCGCTATCGGAATAATAATTCGTTATCCATATAGCGGCTATTATATAGCGGTAAAGGTGTCGTTTGAAACATTTATTACTGCAATATCCGCAATAATAACCATTATTTCCATAATTGTGATAAACGTAAAGCGATAAAAAAAAGCGACTGCAATTGCAGTAAATCCATGAATGGAATCCTATAATTAGCAAGCAAAGAACTTCATTAACTGGTTTTCTTCATTTCCGGAGCTTTTGTTTTTCCTCTGCGGTCATCATCTCTGAACAAGTTATTATTAAATATAATTTGGTTTTTTTTCCCTTAAAATTGACGTCGTTGCACCGAACCTAACATTGTTTTTTCTTCTTTTCTATTTGCAGTATAAAATTATTATTAAATATAAAGAGAAGAAAATGGATATGAAAACAATAAAGTCATTTGACCCAACCGTCATCATCTTCTCCCAGCGGGTATTTATTGACTACACTGCTCATGACATAAAACATTGAAAAACAATAAACAAAAAAACAATACATTTCAAAATAAACTTAATTTAATAATAATTAAATAAACCCAAATAACAAATACCAATATCAGTAGCCTGTAGAGAAGAAAAGACGACAATGACCAATAAACTTGGAAATTTGTAATTACCTGTTGTGCTGTGTGCGTGTAACAGTGATTTGTTCTGCCAAGGGTGTGTGATTTCCTGGTTTGTTGTTGGTGAAAATGGCTTAAGTGTAGGTGATTCTAGCACAGGCAGTCAGGCTCTTTATAGCACAGTTTCTCATATTATCAGGAACGTTTCTTTGCTAGTTCTCTCCGGTCATCATCTCCGAACAAATTTGTCAGAAGAGGTATTTATTGAATTTTACATTTTTATTGTTCTTTCGAACCTCATAAACTGCAAGGAACATGATTCTTTTTCATTCTTTTTACTCCATGATCATTAACTTGATTTTTTTCATAAACTACAATTCCATGGCATATATCGCTTTTTACTCCATGTTCATTACTGTGTTGCCCAGTTTCTAACATATTGCTTGTGACTTGCAGCCATGGACTTTGTTCTGAATAAGATTAATAAGCACTTGGACAATCACATGAGCTTTGATCAGCATATGAAGGACCTTAAAAGGAAATTAAAAGAATTGAATGGTACGAAGAAAGATACGGAATCTATAATGAGAACAGAGCTGCAGCCAAGGAAGAAACTCAAGGCGGAAGTCCAGATATGGTTGGAAAATGTTGAAAGACTCAATGGCGAAGTGCAAGACCTTGATGACAGAATCGGTGAAAGTAGTGCTCTTACACGGGGATTTCACACAGAAGATGTGTCAAAGATTACAAAGGAAGTTGAAGAACTTATTATTCAACATGGTAAGTTTCATGGAGGTTTGGTGGTTGACAATCCTCAATGGATCGGACAAGTTTTATCGACAATAAGTTTATCAGGTGAAGCTGTAAAGGCCTGTGTTAAAGAGATTTGGCAGTGCTTGATGGATGATGGGGTTCGAAAGATTGGAGTTTGGGGCATGGGTGGCGTGGGGAAAACAAGCATCATGAAGGTTATAAACAACCAACTCTTAAAAGAGACGGGGAAATTTGAAATTGTGATTTGGATCACTGTATCCAAAGAGGTGAGTATTGTTAAACTGCAGAAAGACATTGCAAGTAGAATTGGAGTAGAATTTTCTGGTGATGAAGATGAAACTACAAGGGCAGGGATGATCTTTGAAACATTGTCTCAGAAGGGTAGGTTTGTGATGATCTTGGATGACCTATGGGAGAAGGTTTCACTTGAGAGAATAGGAATTCTTGATCGTCGGTGAAACTCTGATAAATGGAAAGGAGGTTGGTGGATTGAAGAAACTGGAAATTCTTAAAGGGAGGTTTTACGACTGGCACAACTTAAATGTGTATCTCCGAGCTTGTCATGGTCGAGAAGAGCCACGACAATACATAATCTCTGTGGGAGATGTACTATGGCATGCGGTGGGTAAAGAAGTAAGAAAAGACATTGTTGTATGTGGTGGTAATATTTACAGCTATCAGATTATGCTTCCACGTGGCATTAAGGGATTGCGTATCTGGGATTGCAACGTTGATTGTATTGAAGAATACCCTCTTTTCTCCAGGTTTATCCTCTCCTCAATTGGCTCCTTTTCATATCTTAAATTTCTTCATATGTATGATTGTGGGAATATGAGAAAGTTGTTCTCCCCAGACTGCGTGCCGCTGAATTTACAAGAGTTTAGAGTTATCAGGTGTGAGCAAGTGGAGGAAATAATAGCCTCAGAAGTGGAGGAAAGTAGGAACGGTTACCATGGAATTTCGTCTTCCACAATTAAGGATATTGAAGTTGTGTTCTCTACCGGAATTGAAGTGCATTTGTAGTGTGGAGCAGTAGTTGTTTGTGATTCTCTAGTAGAAATTGAAGTACTGAAATGTCCCAAGTTAAAAAGGATAGGTCTTAATCTTCCTCAACTTGATAATGTGCCACCATCTGCATCTGCATATGCACCTCCACCTTGTTGAGAACCTAAATGAGATCACGAATGGAGTACTTTCAAGACTTTGTCGTCTTCAATACTTGGTTGTCGGTGAAACTCTGATAAATGGAAAGGAGGTTGGTGGATTGAAGAAACTGGAAATTCTTAAAGGGAGGTTTTAAGACTAGCACAACTTAAATATGTATCTCCAAGCTTGTCATGGCCGAAAAGAGCCTTGTGAATACATAATCTCTGTGGGAGCAGTAGGATTTCCTATGTTTCTTAGGAGTGCAAGTAAAGAAATTGTTGTAAGATATTGTAACATCTATACCTACCAGATTGTGCTTCCACGTGACATTGAGGGATTGGATATTGGGTGTTGCAATGTTGGTTGCAGTGAAGAGTACCCGCTTTTCTCCAGGTTTATCCTCTTCTCAGTTTCCTCCTTTTCATCTCTTAGATCTATTGAAATTCATAATTGCAGAAATATGAAAAAGTTGTTCTCCCCCAACTGTGTGCCGTTAAATTTACAAAGGCTCAGTGTTGGTGGGTGTGAGCAATTGGAGAAAATAATAACATCAGAAGTTGAAATGGAGGAAAGAGGAATGGTTATCACGGAGTTTCATTATAACAAACAAGAAACTGGAAATGGAAGAATGCTTTCTTTCACTTGTATACAAAAGAAGATTACAAAGCTGTTTATATACATCTATAATATTAACTAACTAACCGTATTATAAAATAGAATAAAACGGCTAATTAATTACAGTTAATATATCCTAATACCCTTCCCTCAAGTTGGGACCACGATGCATGGGAGGCCGAAGAGTCTTTGTGAAAATATCAGCCAGCTGGTCCGAAGAGCAAACATGAAAAAGCTTCAAAAAACCAGCCTTCACTTTGTCCTTTACAAAATGACATTCAACCTCAATATGTTTTGTCCTTTCATGAATACTTGATTTGTTGCAAGATTAATTACGACCTGGTTATAACAATATAACCTTGCATGATCAACAACCAAATGAAATGAAGAGAGAGCAAAGAAACAAGCCAAACCAATTCACAAGTAGCCACGGTTATGGCTCGATATTCGACCTCGCAAAAAGATCGACTAACAAATGCATGTTTCTTTGATTTCCAAGACGCCAAACTATTTCCAAAGAAAGCAAAAAAAACCTGTAGTGGAACATCGTGTATTAGGCACGAGCTATAATCTGAATCAAAATATATACTTAATTGATCAGTGAACTGAACCGGAAAAAGTAAGCCAAGGTCAGGGAAATGTTTTATGTATGCCAAAAGATGCTTCAAAGCTGTCATGTGAGGCAAGCAAGGAGAAGAAACGAACTGGCTTAACAAATGCACAGTATGAACCGGTCTGGTATTAGTCAAGTACAACAAGCAACCTATCAATCAGCGATACTCTTGAAAATCAACTTGTAATTCTCCTTCATTTGCGCTTAACTTCAAGGAAAGTAACATGGGCGATTAAACTGGTTTAGCACCCAAGCAGCTTGTATCCTCCAACAGTTGCAAGGTATATTTCCTTTGAGATAAAACAATACAAGAACTATTCCTAGCTATCACAAAGCCAAGAAAGTAACGCAAAGGTCCAAACTCCTTTAGTTTGAAATGTTGTTGTAAAAGACCTTGAATCTCATGAAACAATTGTAAGTATTTCCCAGCAAGAACAATATCATCTACATAGATAAGAAGAGCAACAAATCCATCTCCATAACCTCTTGTAAATAAAGAATGTTCAAAGGGAGACCGCAGAAAGCCAAGCTAAAGAACAACATTAGAAAAAGCAGTGAACCATTGCCTAGACGCTTACTTGAGTCCATAGATGGACTTGCGAAGTCTGCAAACCATAGTAGATCCCTTAAGCTCGGGCTTGTATCCAGGAGATAGTTTCATGAAGACCTCCTTATCTAAGATGCCATTTAGAAAGGCATTATTAACATCCAATTGTAGCTAATGACACTTACGTGTTACAGCAAGAGAAAGTAATACTCGAAATGAAGTCATCTTTGCATCTGGTGAGCATGTATCCATGTAGTTGATCCCCTCAACTTGTGTAAAACCCTTAGCAACCAACTGGGCTTTATGACGATTAACCGAGCCATCAGATTTATACTTGACACGGTAGACCCATTTGCAATTAACGACATTCTTTCCATCATGTAAAGGAACAATGGTCCCTGTGTCAAGAGTCTCCATAGCTCGAAGTTCATCATCCATAACACTTCTCCAAGTTGGAGACTTGACAACTTGATGATAAAAAGATGTGTTGAAAACATTTTGATATTTCGATATAACAAATTAAGTTAAATGAATTTTAAGATTTTCCAAAAAGATTTTCTAAGTATATTCGATATAATTATTTGAATATCAAAATATTACTCCAAATCTTTCAAATGTCATTTTTAATCCTTACTCAAGTGTAAAATTAAGTTTTAGTCTTAAAATAATTTTAAAACAATTTTACAAAATATTTCGAACCATTTCAAATCAAAAATTTCCAGATTGCTCAGAGGGAACCGATTCCCCCTGAATGGTTTGGCTCCGAGATTTCCAGTATGCTCAGAGGGAATCGATTCCCCCCCCAGGGGGTACCGATTCCCCCCTGTGTAACAGTCGAAATATTTGAATTTTACACTTAGGGAACCGATTCCCCTCAAGGGGAACCAATTCCCCCCACGCTCCAAACTGTTTTATTAATTGATTTCACACTAAAACGGCTATATTATCTTCACTAATCATCCCCAACATTCAGAAGTGATTTAAGGTGTATTTAAGCAAGCTTAGAAGCCTTTGATCAACAAGAAATCATAAAGAAACAAGAGAGAAAGCATCAAACACCAAGTTTGTGCAGAACAAACCAATTTTCCTTTCAATATTCATTTTGCTTTCTAGAACACCATTTGTGCTCATTTGTAATTATTTTTTAGTGTTCTTTTCTTGTTCTAGAATTGTGCAAACAATCTACCTTGTGAGGATTCCCTTGTAAGTTTGCAAAATTTGTATTATTCTCTTTGGGAGAGAGTGTTCTCAAGAATTTGGGGTATAATTCTTGAGGGTTTGTAAGGTTACTCTTTGTCCTCAAAAGAAAGACAAATTAGTGAATTTGTGGAAAATCCTTAGTGTGGATAGCTAAGGTAGTGGACGTAGACTTAAAATGATGTCATTTTTGAGTGTTATAATTTTATTTATTCTTTTTTACTTTCTTTAAAAAATCAATATGATAATCATTGTTGAGGATAATTGAAGATCATAAAAATCTCATTTCTGATTTTGAAAATTTGGATAATTAGAATTTTGATCCTTATCCAATTCAAAAAAATCATATCGATATATGAATATCGGAATCCATATCCAAATTATATATCCTAATTTGTCAAAAAACCTTACGAGAAATAATTTATACAATATTATACAAACACGAATGAATTGAAAAAGTCTAAAAAATACTGTTAACAAACTAAATATTAAAAATAAATAACCTAATTATAAAAATAAAAAAATCAGATATTAAAGTGTATATTAAATTAACTCAAACTATTATAATTTTTATACTATTCATAAGTAAATTTCCAGATTAATATATGCAACTATTATCAGTAAAAGAACATATGATTTTAAAGATGTGAAAATAATTAGGCATACACACACAGCAAGTTAGTTCACCAACATATCTCGGGCCAATTTGTTTTTTCTAATTACTTATATATGTATAATATGACCACAATCAAGCTTGATTTTTTATCATGGAGGACAGTGGTGCTGGGGACTGGAGAGGGTTGGAGTTGTTGAGCCTGAATAAATATTTCTAAAGGCTTATTTTTTTAGATTTTCGAATAATTTGAAATTAAATTTTTTAATCCGTATCTAATTCAATTATTTAATTTTTTCTCGGGCGTCGATATAAGATGAACCCGGTATTGCATAGAGCTTACTCCATGGACATAGTAAGTGAACCATGTAAATAATAATAGAATGAAAATGATTTACACATTTCCATTATCAATGGGTAGCAAACTATCAATGGAACAATATCTCGACCGTTATTCTTTCGGAAATATCATTCTCCACCAACATATCAATAAACAATTTCTGAGTGACGAGACTTTTGATAAACTCAAGAGATTTATCCTGAACAAATATATTAACCGGGTTCAATTTTTTAATAATTTTGATGATTACAAGGTAGTATCTATTTAGAATTTTTCTTATTTTATATTGACAATGTGCACGCACATTACAGATGAAATTGCTTGAATCCAAATTCTCTATGAAGAACAATATTTTTCTTTTATCACT